TCTTCTGCTTCAAAGGTATTAAGTTGGTATCTGCAGCAATATTATTAATCATAAGGTACTGGGCATCATGGTCTGATAGTCCATTTATTATGGGAGAAGTAGAAGTTGAGCTAAGTCTTATACTATCCACAAAAATGTTATCAATTGCTGTTCTTGAGTCATTTTGAATTCTTGTTGCAAAATTTACAGTATGCATCAAATTATATGTTGCTAGTAGTGAGTTTAAATGTTTTTCCCGGCAGTTTTCATTTAGATAGTCTACATTCATGTCGCCACAGATTAAAAATTCAGTTTTTGGATTATACAGATACTTTAGAGTAGCATCTAGTCCCTTTAGAAATTGTTGACAATTACCTGATGGAGCTCTGTATAGGCTTAATATAACTAAGTTAGCTGTTTTTGTCTCTAGCTGAATTGCATAAATTTCTAAATCCTGTTCTTTACAGTGTTGTGAAATATCAATTTTGTTGAAACATTGGTCTTTCTTAACAAAAATACATACTCCTCCCCTCTGCAGGTTTTGTCTACAGAAACTGGAACCTAATGAATAACCATCTAATGTGAGGTGCAGCAAATCCTGTTCAACCATGTGATGTTCGCTTAGGCACAATATATGGGGATTTATGCTGTCTATTTCCAAAGAATGTTTTAACTCATCACTTTTATTTTTTAGTCCTCTGATGTTTTGATGAAAGATATTTAATGAATTTATTGGGTTAACATTTTTACTTCAAACTTTATGACCAAGGAAATTGCAATCAATATATGTCAAGCACCTCTGTGCTTTTGATTTTAAGCTAAAAAAGGCGAGGCTCTGACATGGGTAATAACAGGAATGTTGTTTTCTTACAGTATACAATACCCAATCGGAATGCAATTCGTGATGAAGCATCTTTGGCATATTCATTGTCACCACTTAGTGCACAAAGCCAAAAGTTGCTTAGATCACCAAGAAAAGCAACACGCAAAATATCACGAATACCCTTCAAGGTTAGTCATATTTTGTATTAGTTTTAATCTTATAAACTCCACAAATGAAGTGTCTGTGCTCACTCCACATCCCATCTCAGTGTCTGATTCTCCCCTGGTCTCTGATGAAATCTGACGTGGATGTTTTGATTTCGTGATCAACCGTACTGCCAGCACAAGCCAGGAGACAATGATAGTGTGTGTGTGTTATGAAATAGTTATAATGTTATTCTTTATATGAAGCTTTAAGATTGTCATGTGTTGTACTTCATTATTTGTCCTGATTTATTGAAGTTTATGTATTTTTCTTTAAGGTGTTGGATGCCCCTGAGCTTCAAGATGACTTCTACCTCAATCTTGTTGACTGGTCTTCACAGAATGTGTTAAGCGTGGGATTAGGAAGTTGTGTTTATCTTTGGTCTGCATGCACTAGTCAAGTTACAAGGCTTTGTGATTTATCTGGAGATGGGAACTCTGTAACTTCAGTTGCATGGAATGAGCGTGTAAGTATTGGTCAGACTATTTTAGCCTAGGTCAATGAAAAGTACTTCTGCTAAACTGGAATTTGATTATTGCTGTTTTTGTTGTTAATCTTTAAAGTATGAGTTATGCATCAATGCATTATTAATTGTATTGGAAAATTGTCGTGCAGTGCATAAAATACATGCATCATTTGGTTACCCAACACTGGATTACTATGTGACAATTGATAGTTTACAAATGACACATTTGTTTACTGGCGAACAGGTCTTGTTATAATGTAGCAAATATTTGATGAGCTTTTCATAGCCTCTTCCCGTCTCACACTGTACTATATTGTGCTTTTCTATCCTATATTATTAGAAGTTTCCTTGAAATGTAGCTGACATGTAACTTGTAGAATGTGCATGTGAAGCTAGAGCAAAAGAAGTTCCCTTAATGGGCAACACAGGAATACGAAGGGTTATGTAAAGGTAAGATTTGAATCCTTACTGCTGGTCAGAATCTCACTTTCCTCAGGCCTGTCTCATGCCCAGTAAGTCTACGAACTTCTGTCTTGAATTCTGAAAGTTTCCAAAGTCCCCATTTTGATATTTTCCAATACTGGCCACTTGTTCTTCCTGCAGTTCTGCTCTAGTTGTCTTGTATACATCTTGAATCAGTGTCAGCTACTAACCCCATTCTATGGGTTCTTTCTGCTCCATTTTATGTTCTATATCAGTACAAAGGAAACATCTTGGGATTTCTAAAGCTCACTGTTCTTTGCATAAAAAAATCTGGAAATTTGGATTTATTGTTACAAACCTTCTGGAGGAAAGCAGAAAAAAAATTGTGTCCTCAGCCTGCCAAGTGATTTGTCTTATACAGATTTTTGTTGAGAGGCAGCTGTATTTATTTCAGGATACATATATTTGTCTCTGCAACTTCAGTTTTTGGGTGAGAACCAAGTCAATTGTTTAGTGTTAACCATCATTCGGCAAACATTGCAGATACACGCAGTTCTGAAGGCCTCATATAGGCTACTCCAATCATGAAGACCTACGATCAAAAATGTATTTGTCTGTATTCTGATGTACCACGATGTCATAATGTTATATAACTGAAGTTTTATGGCCATATTCTGCAGCAACTGTAGATAATAGGTAAGAAATTGCATATTCTGACCAGGAAATGTTACCGAACAGATAACCCATCATATCACATCTAACATAATTTAGGAATGGCTCTTATTATTGGACACATTTATGACCTGTTGTGTTGGTAGGGAAATTTGGTAGCAGTTGGCACACATCATGGCTACGTGCAAGTCTGGGACGTTGCTGTAAATAAACAAGTTAATATGCTGCTGGGCCAGTCAGCCAGAGTTGGAGCACTTGCTTGGAATGGTGATGTTCTCTCATCAGGAAGTCGTGATCGACTTATCTTACAACGTGATGTCAGAACTCCTAGTCTTGTTACAGAGAGAAGATTGGTTGGCCATCGACAAGAGGTTAGTAGAGAAGTATTTAAGTGTTATGAATTTTGTTATTACTACAAAATAGTTGTTGTTTTTCTGGATCGTGACACCATGTGGACTTACATAGATACCAGAGTTTTAGAGATACATATAGTCTCCATCTTCAGCTCCTAAGATAAAGACAATATATCTCCACATCACAAGCCAGAGGAACAGCATCAACATGTTCACAACTGTGAGAAACTCAAATCTCACCTGAAATAATTCTATTATTGTTGCTGGTTAAGAATATGTTTTAAAATCTATTGTCATTAATTTGAATTACTATAAGTATCTTTTGTTCAAAGGTTTGTGGCTTGAAGTGGTCTCCAGACAACCAGAGCCTGGCCTCTGGTGGCAACGACAATCGCCTCCATGTTTGGAATCTGCATTCGCTTTCACCTGTCCAGACTTACACTGAGCATTTGGCAGCAGTGAAAGGTTTGTTATCGCCATTTATAACAGATTGAAATGAGATTCTATGAAGTGAGTAAAT